TAGGAAGGACGGAGGTGTCTGGGGGCTCCCCAACCGCCCACACCGGCTTGAGCGAGCTCCTCTCCACAGCCTGGGGGCCTCGGACTCCTGCTCGGGCCCCAGACAAAGTTCCCCAAGGGCCTGGGGACCAGCCGAGGAGGTGGGACGCTACTTGGCTGCCTGGAGGTCTGCAGGGGGCAGACACCAACCTCTCCGCCCTGCCTGAGTCTCCTGCAGCTTCTGAGGAGGCTCCCTCGGGGGGTACTGCCTGGCTGCCTCGGTGCCTGCCCTTTCTGCCTCTGCCCCTGCCTCCTCCGCAGTGCCTTTGTCTCTGCCTCTCTTGCTCCTCCTCAGTCTCCCCGGTGTCTGAGGGTCTGTGGGCCTCCCTGTGGGTTCTCCCCAGCCTCGCTCCGCGCCAGCTCTTTTAAGCATCCCGAGCTGCTGCCGTTGATTGGCTGCGCTGTAAGCCACTCAGTCACCAGCTCTATCCGTGGGACTCAGATGGGTGTCTCATTGCTTCCCCAAATCCTCAGATTTTTTTTTTAAAACTTTTTGTCCTTAAAAAAAAAAAAAAAAAGGGACTTGCCCCCTTTTTGGGGGCGGGAATCTAGCAACCGGATGGATCACTGGGCACTGCGCCAGCTGATGACACAGCTTTTCCCAAAACCCACAAAGGGCCCTCAGCTATCTCCGGGATTTGGTGGGACAGAGCCCCAGGAGGGTTAGGAAGTTGGGGAGAGGGCCCTGCCTGCACGCACAGAAGGGCCGATGGCCCTGGGGGATTCTTCTCCCCGTCTAACCCGAGGTGACTGCCCTTTCTCAGGGTGTCCTTGCATCACCCTCTGGCCCTCACGCTGGTTTCCAGGCCCGAGGGCACTGCTGCTGAGGAACAGGGTAGGTAATAGGTAAGGCAGCAACCAAGGGGAGAACAAAGAAGTGGGGGTGGGGGCTGGCACGGTTCCCCATGGGACCCGGTGGGGAGCATGGGGGAGTGAGACAGATGGCCATCAGGAGGGTTATGGACCCCCAGGTGCGACAATTCTGGTACCAGGAGGGGGCAGATAACTTTTCCTTTTATAGGCTCATCTCTAACATCCCTTCTCTCCCTCAACTCCCCACCCCCACCACTGCCTCCTTTGAAGCTTTGAACTGCCATGTTGCCTCAGTTCCTCATGCCCCCACCTACTTCCTGATTCCCCTTTCCCTGGCCCAACTCCCAGTAGCTTCCCCTAGATTCCTGGCCCCCAACTGCCCTAAGCCCTCCTCCAGCCAGCCAGTCTGTCTGTCGATCAGTCAGTCAGGAATCCAGGCACACCCAGTGTCCCCCGGGGCAGCCTCACCTGGCCCTCTCTCCTGGCACCACTTTGCCAATAAGGACCCAACCTTTCTGGAAATCTTGAATAACCTTTGTTTCTCATTTCCCATGGGACAGAGAGAGGATGGAGGAAACCTCGCATGGAGGGGAGTTAGGATACATGAGGGGAGAAGCGGAAGAGGCAGCATTAGGAAATGGAAGCAAAATGATCCCCTTGGGTCTGGACCAAAGGGACGCAGAAGAGCACTCGCAGTGGACTCTCGAGGCGAGCCAGCGAAGGGGTCAGCAGTCAGGGCATCTCTGCCCAGGGCTACTCCTTTCCCCAGGAAATCCCCAGGAAGGAGAGTGCAGTCAGCAGTCCCTTCCCTTCACAAAGACAGAGCAGGTCCCCTGGCCCCACTCACCTAGTCACTGTGCCTTGTCTCCCACATCATATCCTACTAGTACTTCCTCTCCCCTCCCTTCCTGCTCAGGTCACTAACACCTGCCCGATGCCTATCACTTCTTGTGCCACCCACCGCCCAGGGCTCTCAGAACCTTTAGACCCACCTCATGCCCTGAACCGTGTTCTAAACTGAGGGCACTGGGACTGGAGGAGGCAGAGCAGGCAGACAAGGGGTGGGAGAGGGGCAGGGGCAGGGGCAGGGGCAGGAGGAGCTATCCCCAGAAGGCTCTCACTGCTCCTACCCACCCCCCTAGCTGAGTTGAGGACAAAGGGGGTGAGTAAGCAGTGAGAGACAAAGGGCCTTAGAGTCACAGCAGCAGTGTGTGAGGGGGTGTTGGCAGCAAGGAGAAGACACAAAAGATGCAGTGTCTCAGGAAGCCCCCAGGAGCCCTTACCCCAGTCCCAGTCCCAGCTCAAGCTGTCCCCAGGGCTAAGCAGCCCACAATCTATCCTGACTTCTCCCAGGTTGAACTTGGCTTTAAACAATCACACACACAACACACACACACCCCTCCCTCCTACCATCACATTATCCCAACTACAAAAGGAGAGAAAGCCTTTGGGAAGGTAGGAGATGAGGAGGCTAGCAGGGGCTGACAGTGGAGGCTACCCTGTCTACTCCAGGTCCTGGGCCGTTCCCACAGCCAGGGCTCTGGTCCCACCCTTTGGTATGGTTCCCATTTCCAGGCAAGAAGTCTGGCTTTCTCCTCTTTCTTTGCAGCTAAAAAATCAGTTTCTGCCACTCCCCTGGTCTGTCTGCCCCACCCTTGTGCACTGCTGGTGGGCTATGTCCCAGGAACTCTGTCTGGGGGAGATCTAGGGAAGGCCTCTTTCCAGATTCGGCCTGGGAAGAGAAGTGAAAACTCAAGGGTGGCCCAGCTGGAGCTGGGCTTAGAAGGCAGAGGGAAAGACAAGGAAGTGGCCTCCAAGTGTGGAAGCGGCTTTGTCCCTTCCATACCAAATTTGGGATCAGATTCCTGGTGCCACTTCTTGTGTATGCTGCTGGCCACTGTCCAGGCCTGGGGTAGGGTCAGAAAGAAGTCAGTGAAAAGAGGCTGGTCTAGGGGGGAAGTGGGGTGCTCCTGTAAGTTCAGAGAGCCTGGCAGATAGATCTCAGGGTCACACACAGGCGTCCTTCCCTCCTAGGGAGAAGTGGTACCCTCCAGCAGGCAATCCGATCAGCTTAGGTCGGAGTGCTCAGACCTGCTTGAGAAGCTCAGTGGTTAGCTTTCCCAGATAGGAATCTTTTGGATTCGAAAATGGGGAGATAATTGGGAAAACCCCAGGTTACCCTACAAAGGCAGGAGCCTGGGCCACTAACGCAAAGGTTGGGACTCTGAATGGGCTCAGCAATGCCTGGTGAACCGCTTCCATAAATCTTAACAGCCACGAAAATCCTGCGCAGCGCTTCGACTGTGCAACACCTGGAGTCGCCAAGAGTCGGGCGGATCCCGAGGCTGCTAAGGACAACGCCAGATGGGCAGGGCTCAAGCACAGCTACATCGAGAAAAGGCCAGGGCAGAAGGCGGCCGGGCCGGGCCGTGTGCGCTGAGGTCGCTGCCAAAGGACAAAGTACACGCAGGCGGGGGCTGCCTTCGGCAGGAGTGGCAAGTTTCGCCGGCTCATGCCTTGGCAGGTCAGCCAAGCGCAACGAGAAAAACCGTTCTCAGTACAGACGGCGGCAGTCGCCTCGACTTCAGGGACAATTAAGGCCGGCGCACCGAACCCGGAAGGCGTCGGGGTGGTGGGCGGCGCCATTGCACTCACGGGCGAGAAGCCGTGCAGGGGGCGCGCCGGCGCCACTTCCGCCCGGTTCTCCTTGCCGCTGTCGGCCCCGGGAGCGAGATGGCGGCGCTGAGGGCCCTCTGCAGCCTCCGGGGCGTCGCGGCCCAGGTGCTGCAGCCCGGGGCCGGGGTCCGACTGGCAGTTCAGCCCAGCAGGTGAGACCGGAGACAGTGTTCGTCGCAGTGTCCCCAAGGCTCGGGTTTCTCTAGTCTGGGACACCCCGCAAGCCTCGTGACCCTCCACCCCCCCACCCCCCTCCAAGGAAAGAGTGACCTAGCTTTGTGACCCCCGCGCTCAGGCCTCCAGGACTCGCGGGTCCAGGAGACGTGCAGGGGAGGGAGAGATCTTGAGCTTGTGCCAGCATGGAATCAGTGGGGATGGGAGACCCGGCCCTCAACATCGGTGATAACGCCACCTACTTATGCCCTGCTGCGCCTCCCCACCCCGCAAGAGGGGGCGGGGTGCTGCTGGGGGGCCATCGCCGTGGAGACCGGGGCCCATTCTGAGGGGTCCGCAGTCAAAGGATCCTTGATGGGCACCGGGGACCTGCCTGAGTAACCTCACTCCCCTCCACGGAGCTTACACACAGGCTGCCTTCGTAGTCTTCGGTGACCTTGAATAAGCACCTTTCCAGCATGTATGTTGTCCATGTGAGAGAGTGAGAATCCTCCAACTTTGCATGCACAGGAGTGATGGGGCTTTAGAAATAAGTTCTTAGTGGAAAGGGAACCACTGGGCCAGGGCACCTTGCTTTCCGATAGGGTTATGCTATTCCGCCTGGGAGATTGCAGGGAATTGAAGGAATTGAAGGCCCTTCCATGGGCCCAGAAAAGAGTGAATGGATAAAAAACAAACAGACAAACAGTGTGTGGGAATGCTGTAAGGCTTATGGTCTAGGATCTGTGTCTTTTAACTCCTCAGAGGTGCTCGCCAGTGGCAGCCAGATGTGGAATGGGCAGAACAGTTTGCAGGGGCTGTCATGTACCCGACCAAGGAAACAGCCCACTGGAAGCCTCCACCCTGGAATGGTGAGTGCCAAGAACTGCTCTCCCAACCTATGTCCATCACTGCCCACCATTTGTACATCTTCCTGGGATGCAGCCTCATTGTAAGTTGCTGCCCCCGGTTTTAGGTCAGCTTTAGCCCCCATCCTCGTAATTCTTTGACCCAGTTGAGTAAAATCTAATTATAGTAATAGGAGTAATATTAATAGCGAAGGAAAAGAAGGGCATCCCAAACAGAACAAAGGATAGGTTCCAGCCAGTACCTGAAGGTCTTTATCAAATTTAAATCCTCAGCTTTAGTTGTCCCCCAGAGGTTAAGGACTGCACCTCCAGCTCCCTCTCTGCCATGGTGGTTGTCACCCTGGTGCACAGATGAATCCTGCCTAAATGCCGCCGTCCCCCCACCCCCATTAAAATGAGCTCTTTTGATCATTAGCATAATCCTTCTGATCCTTCTGGGTTGAAATGTTTTACGTTACCCTTGGCTCTTTCCGCTCCCTTACCCTCCCTGTCCATGTCCAATAAGTTATCAAGACCGGTAGATTCTCGTGAAGTGCCACACCTGGCTACCTCTCCCTTTGATTCTTGTTGTACCACTCTAGTTCAGGTTCATCTTGTGTTAAACTTTCATTATTTCAGGAATGTGTTCCTACCACTGATTGTCCCCTTTCCAATGTGCTATACGACACCATTACTTTCATCCTTCCCAAACAGCATTTCATCATATCAGCCTTTCTCTTGATCAAAAACCCTCAAAGCCATTTCTTCCAACCAATTCCAGCTGACAGCCACCAGCTTGCTTCTGACTGAGCAACCCCATAGCTCCAAGTGGAACTGCCCCCTGAGACTGTAAATCTTTACAGGGGTAGAAAGTCTCAACTTTCTCCTACGGGGCAACCCAACCCATAATCCACTAAACCATCACAGGCCCGGCAGGCACAATTGTACAGCGATAATAAGTAAAGACTACATTAAAGTCATAGAGAATAAGAAAGATAGACGAGAGATTGAAGTAATGGAGTCAGACACATTTCGTAGTAGCATGCTCACCTCAGCTCCTCTTGGTGGTGCAGGGCAGGAGAGAGGGGGATGGGAAGGAGGACAAGGGGAGAGGGGACAGGGGAGAGAGGACTGGGAGTGAGGTCTTTATTTCTTTTTTTTAAAAATATTTTAATACTTCTTAACCCAAAAGATATACTTTAAAAAGTGGATATCATTCTTTTGCACATCTTATAGCAAGCCATTAAAACCTAATAATTATCACCTTAGGAAGTGTAGCTAAAATGTACATTTCCAACATTTTATATTCTTCTTCTTTAAATTGTGATTTGACTAAAAGTTTACAGAGCAAATTGTTTTTTTTTGTTTTTAAACATTTTACTAGGGGCTCATACAACTGTTATCGCAATCCATACACACATCAATTGTGTAAAGCGCATTTGTACATCATTCCCAAAAAAATTTCCCCTCCACTTAAACGCCCGACATTAGGTCCTCATTTTTCCCCTCCCTCCCCGCTCCCCCCTCGGTCTTTATTTCTAACCAAGGTCTTTATTATAAACCTTTGGGGGCGTGCAAGCCCCCTAATTACAGGTAAAAACATATGTCACAGGAAGGGGTTGTACTATAGGTAATACAGCAATGAGAGGGGGGCGATCTAGGGTAAGGTGACCAGATGTCCTGCTTTTGGTGGGACAGTCCCGATTTTTGGCAATTTTAAAAAGTTCCGATTTTTGGAAAGAATGCACAAGTTAGGGAACAGTCTGTTCCATATAGACCAAATTTTTAATCAAGAACCCCCACCCCCAGTCAATGGTGTCCCGCTTTAAATCTGGTCACCTTGATCTAGGGGTATACACGCAATAGGAAGGAGAGGAATTGGGAGAACACATGTGACAAGATGGGCGGATCCTAGATTCAGGATGGCAGCCTAACTTTGGATGTCACTGAGCAGGTTTGACCTGTTCTCTGGATCTCCATGGAAACAATTACTATACTTATCAGTAGGGTGTGAGCCCCACCTACAGTGGACCAGACCATGTCTGAATGCCTTCAGGGAGAATATCTCTAAGCATCTGACCTCCCACCATGTGCTTGCTGGCCAACAGCCTCTAATGTTTGACATATCTTTGGGGGAGACAAAGCTGGGGAACAGTCTTTTGTAACCCACACTTAGTCTGTTCATTTTATTTCACTAACCCTTGCTGCAACCCCATGAAAGTAGTATTAGTACTATTCTGATTTTGAAGAGATGACGGTTCAAGGAGGGGCGTCTCTGGGTGGTGTAAGCAGTTCACTGCTTGACTTCTGAACAAGAGGGTGGTGTTTGAATCAGCCCGGTGGCTCTTCAGAAGATAGGCCTGGTGACCTGGTTGTGAATGGTCACGGCTTTGACAGCCCTGTGGAGCCGTTCTACTCTGCAGACATGCAGTCGCCAGGAGTCAGACTCTGCTAACAACCAGAGGGTGCAGGGAGACTGAAACCGGCTCAGTGGCCCCCAGGAAGTGTTTAGCTCAGGTTTGTCTGACTCTAAAACCCACAGTGAAGAATGTCGGTTGAGAAGATGGGCTCTGGTTGCGGGTCTCATTTGAAATTCGTGACCAGTGGATAAAGTACCTGCTCCATCACCTTATCCTGGGATCAGGGAGGGGAAGCAGAAACCACTTAGTGTTCCGTGTGGCACGTGGTCAGTTCTTCATCGATATGAACTGTTAGTATTGGTCAGTGTGACTACGATTTTATCCTGTCTCCCAGCACCAGTCTCCTGCCTCTTGGGATGGCCTGCTAGAAGTTCCACAGATGCCTGCTTCCATGTTGCTAAGACATGAAGTGTGTGGATTCCATAGCTCGGAATGCCTTTTCTTTCCCCTTCCTAACCGAGGCATCCCCTACACCTAATTGCTTCAGCTCCTACCTCTAAGAGGCCTTCGCTATTATTTCTTTCCTTCCTTTAAATAATTCATGGCTAAGCCACTTGCTTGGGAACTGATCAGTTTGATCTGGGTTACTCGTTGTTTACATGTACTTCTTCCCCAAATTAAATTGAAAGCCTCTGAGGAGTAACAACGCACATGCAGTAGTAGCAAGCACTATTTGCTGGAACTTTTGGAGAGCAGTGTATCCTAGTCGTTAGAAGTACAGGCTGTGGAGCTGAGCTGCTAGTTCAAATCCTGGCTCTGTCATTCCCTAGTTCTGTGATCCTGGGCAAGGCCTTTGGCCTCTGGCCTCAGTGTCCCCCATAAAATGTGAACATAAAAGTACCTGGGGTCCCTATTGGAACTCTAGTGGCACAGAGGTTAAGCACTTGGCTATAATGTAAGGTCTGTAGCTCAGACCTCCGGTCACTCTGCAGGAGGAACATGCAGCAGTCTGCCTCTGTCAAGATTTCAGCCCTGGAAGTCCTGTGGAGCAGTTAGTTCTCGGCCCTGTGGGATCAGTGTGAGTCAGAATTGACTTGATGGCAACAAACAGATTTCCTTCTTCTTCTTTTTTTACACTACTCACTGGGAGAATTAAGATAAAGTACCTGGCTATATATGTGTTACCTCTTATTGTTGATAATAAGATACTCTGTAAGGGAAATTGCCGGGAAATGGGGAGCTAACAACAAGTACGAGGAAAAAGAAAGTATTCTGAAATTAATGGTGGTGATTGCACAACTCTCCTTCATATGCTTGAACTATTAAAGTGTATGATATTCTACCTTACAAATCTGTTGAGACCAGACATGTACAGACAGGTACAGATCAGAGCTGGAAACACAGGGAATCCAGGACAGATAAATCCCTCAGGACCAGTAATGAGAGTAACGATACCAGGAGGGTAAGGGTAAGGTGGGGGAGAAAGGAGGAGCTGATCACAATGATCTACATATAACCCCCTCCCAGGGAGACGGACAACAGAAAAGTGGGTGAAGGGAGACAGCAGTCGGTGTAAGACATGAAAAATAATTATAAATATCAGGGGCTT